TGATGTGGATGTCAACACCAAAGTCCAGCAGATGTGACCAGACATCCCCAAAACTTAGAGATACCCCAGGACATCCGCTCAGCCTGGATGCCCCTCTCGTTTTGGGTCTGTCCTCCTGGTGGCTGTGGAGGACACCCTGAGGGAAGGGCGTGGATGTGGACCCTGGGGCTGGCCATGGGCACCCGGGTCCAGCCCACTGGGCGCTGGGTCTGCGGTGGGTTGGGGCCAGGGCCCAGCTTGGGAAGCACAGCCCCTCCAGGAGCGAGCTCATCCCTCTGGGATGGAGGCCCCCCTCACCTACTCAGGGCTGTCCGGGTGCTCTGTGCAGCCTGGCACTCCCACAGCTGCCCCACCCTTGCAGCACCAGTGAGAAGCCGCTTTCTATTTCCAGGCCCATGTGAACTGTGCTATTTATATTTTGGAGCACAGAGGGGCTGCTCCAGGTGGCAGCCATAGCAGGGGCACTGGAGCCACAGGCCCCCACGGGAGCCTCATAGCACCCCTGACCCTCCTCCAGCTCTTTTGGCCCCTGCCTGCCTCCTTCTGTGAGCATCTCTGAAAGGCATGCCTTCCCATTCTGACATGCTCTACCCTCCAGGTGGGCTCAGAGTCTCCCCCAGCTCTGTCGCCCCAGGGCTGTGTGTGCCAGGGCTGTTTGGGTGAAGACAAGAGACTGGGAGGAGGAGGGGCTGGTCAGTGGGCCGGTGGGTGTGGGGGTGGAGGTGACTGTGGGCTGAGGGCAGGGAGGGGTGTCTGCGGGGCAGTGGGTGCCCTGGACAGTATCAGGGGTCTGAGGTCTGAGGGAGAGCTGGGGGCACTGGTGGGCCGGGGGGCGGGGCAGGGGGTAGGCAGAGGGGCAGGAGCTGTGGCTGCGCTCTGAGCCCAAACCCTGGAACAGCTCCTCAGGAAGAGGGGTCCACAGTGTTTGCAGGTGGGGACCGAGGGGCCCCCTTGTCTCTGGAACTTGAGGAGCAGCCTCTGTGGGGAGGTGGGCAGGGACTCTGGGAGAAAAAGACCTCTGTGGACATGGACAGTGGGGAAGAGAGTGCATGTAGGCACATGCGCCCAACAAGGCACCATGTGTCCAGACCGCTGTGTGTCCTGCTGCCATGTGTCCAGGCCGCCGTGTGTCCTTCCACCGTGTGTCCTGCCACCGTGTGTCTGGTGCCCCAGGACCAGACAAGGGTCTGAGGTACAGGCTGGCATCCCGGGCTGGGGCAGCACCTCCAGCTCCGCACCCAGGAACCCACAAGGACAAGCTCCCAGGCGCTGACCCCTAGTCAGGTGGGCCCTGGACGCCGAACTTTCCCACCGTGGCTGCAGGGAGAGTTCTTGTCTCCCTTTGTTTGGCTTGTCATGTGTTGTCACCTTTCAAGTAATAACGAAATCCAGCAGGAAAACGGCGGCGTGCTGGGACTGAATTATTCAGCGAGTTCAATTATTTAGATTGCATTTGAAGTTTCTGAACCAGCGCCGCGTGTGCCAAGAGCCCCTCTGCCCCTCCCAGGGGGCTGCAGCCCCCTGGCCAGACCACGCCAGGACTGAGGAACACTCCAAGGAAGCCTGAGTGCTCCAGGCTTCTGCACTGCAGCCGGAGGATGCCCTGGGCAGGAGCCGCTGTGGCCCCCACGGGACAGGTGGGACTGGCGGCCTCCCTGGCAGAGTGGGGGCTGGAGGGGTGGCTGCCTCCTCTCTCTGCCACGTGGAGTGACCCCGCGGGGGCTGCAGAGGGGCCTCTGGATGGCAGGGCTCTCAAACCCAGCGCCACGTGGCTTTTGGCACAAGCCCTCTCCGGGTCGGAGGTTCCTGGCCTCTCGTGGCTGATTTCAGGTGAGGAGCATGCAGAGCGCCGAACTGGGGGCATGAGCCCCGTCCTGCCAGCCGGCCAGGGTCCCACAGCCGGGGCCTGGCTGCAGCCAAACACACACACCTCAAATGCTGACCCCTTGGTGGAACACGGCCTCCCTCATTCAGGCCCCCTGGCCATTCTCCTCCCGGTCCCCACCACCATCCACCATCCTGCATCCAGCTGCCCTCTGAGGTGCCCTCCTGGGTCTTCTGCCTGCTGACAGCACCATCCTTGGTTCAGCCTGTCTCACTGGTTATGGAAATTTCCCACTAAGCTCCTGCCTCTCTCCAGCCGGCAGCAGGTTTGCGGACTGTTCACCAGTCCCCAGGTCCTCTTCTGGGCAGTCCTCCCCAGGGTGAGACCCCGCCGGGGGAGGCAGTGTGCTGTGTTGCCATCCCTGCCCCCGGAGCAGACCAGCCAGTGGGCAGTTCCCGGCTGGCTCACTTGGAATCCTCCCGTCCTGCCCAGAGCAGGCACCGCCCTCGCTCCAGTCCTTCTCAGGCTCCACAGCTGCTCACTTCCTCTCCTGGAGTACCAGTCACTCCGATCTGGGACTGTCACCAATCTTGTCTATTTCCCCTCCAGGAGAGTCTGAGTCCTAGTTGAGCCACCTACCCACCCCCTCAGGGCCTGGGCAGATGTGAGAACTAGGGGCCACTGTGCACTTGGTGAGTGTAAGGGGTGGCAGCAGAGACAGAGACAGAGACAGAGAGAGACAAAGAGAGACAATGAGAGAGACAGAGAAACAGAGACAAAGAGAGACACGGAGAGAAGACAGGGACAGAGACAGATAGAGATAGAGACAGAGAGAGAGATAGAGACAGAGAGACAGAGATAGAGAGACAGAGACAGAGAGAGAGAGACAAAGAGAGACACGGAGAGAGACAAACAGAGCGACAGAGAGAGACAGAGGCACAGAGACAGAGTAAAAGAGAGACAGAGAGAGAAGACAGGGACAGAGACAGAGAGAGATAGCGACAGAGACAGAGAGACAGAGACAGAGAGACAGAGATAGAGAGACAGAGACAGAGAGACAGAGAGAGATTGAGACAGAAGAGACAGAGACAGAGAGACAGATGGTGACCCCACAGCTGACCTCTGAATGGTGACCCCACAGGGAGGGAAGGAGAAAGACAGAGGGATGGAAGGTCAGGCAGCATCTGTGGGCTGGCAGGGAGCCTCTGTCCTTCCTGCCCGAGCCTGTCCCTGGCCGCATGGGCCCCTGGCTCAGGGGTGTGTGTGGAGCTCAGCCAGGCCCAGGTGGTAGAACCAGTGGGCAGGGGCTCCCCCCGGCACTGCAGCAGGGACCCTGCACTCTTCTCCTCTGATGAGCCTGCACACCCTGCCCCACCCGGCTGCCTGGTCAATGGGGTGTCTCCTTGCAGGTAGCTTGTGAGGGCAGCTGGGGTCAACGGTTGTAGGGCCTGCTCTGGGCTCACTGGGGTCACTTCTGGGGTCTTCCGTGGGGTTGCCGTCAGGGGGCCAGCTGAGGGTTATCCTCCAGGTCCATCTGGTGGCAGGGTGGAGGAAAGTGACTGTCCTCTCTCCTGGGCCCAGACCTCTCCCCTCTGGCATCCACACCCAGATTCTGAGGACATGGGAAGGGCCAGGCTGAGCAGACCTTGAGCTGGGGCTCAAGTCAGACCCTCAAGACCCTCAGACACCTGGGAACAGGTGACCACTCCACTGAGCACCTGTCCCCACTCCTGCACGAGGCCTCACATGAAGCTGAAGCATAACTGTGCTTCTTACACTCCTGGGGGTGGCCAGGGTGGCCAGCAGGAAGGGCTCCCTGCAGCAGGCCCTCCCTTGTGGGCAGCCCCACCCTCACTTCCTGGCCCAGATCCAGGGGACAGGGCTGTTGCAGGAGGAATGGGCAGTGTGAAGGCCAGCTCCCAGTAGGGAGACTACAGCTCCGTGTGTCTGCAGATCTGTGTCCTGGGACATGGGCGTCCCCCAGCGCCCCTGGGACCTGAGCTGACCAAAGTGGCAGCTGAGTGAGGAGTGGCCTCCTCCACCCCTCGCCTTCCCCTCCTTCCTCCCCTGTTGAGGGCCCCTGCCAGGCCACTGCTGGGCACAGCCAGGCCTGGAGATGGTCAGCTAGCAGGGTGGGAGCTGGGAGGGGAGGTGCCAAGCAGGTTGGGGGGAAACAGGTGGATGTGACCCTGAGCCTGCTCCAGAGTTCAAGCTGAGCGGCCTGGGGGTGGTCTCCCCTGCGGTGGGGTGAAGGTCAGAGGCAGCTCCAGGATTCACCCGTCCAGCCAGGCCCAGCGGAGGGGACAGTGACAAGTTAATGCAGTGGCCACCAGGAGTGTCCACTCATGGACCAGGAGCCCAGCCCTGGGCCTCTGGGAAACCTGGACCCCTGCAGCCCCCCGCCTCCACACTCCCACATGGACTGCAGGCCGAGGGGCTGTGGGGCAGGAGGCCTGCGGCGACCTTGCAGCGACCCGGTGGTGCAACTCTAACCGCAAGGGAAATCCTGGAGGCCTGGCGGAGGGGGTGGCCACAGCAGGGACAGTGGAGGTGGGGCGGCTGCGTCTGCAGTAACCTTCACGCGTCCCTGCTCCTCGCGGGCCTGCCGCCTCCGAGAGACGGGGGTCTCTGGGCCCCTGTTCACTAAAACGAAGCTCAGTGACTCTCTTACACTGAGAAATGGGTCCGGCCGGCCCTCGGGTCTCTCTCCCCCAGGAGAGGCTGAGTTTTCAAGACTCCAGGGACTCCCTTCTCCCGCCCAGCCCGGCGAAGAGGCCCGGAGCAGCTGGGGTCGAGGCCACTGTCACCGCCCCCTCCGGGGAACCTTTCCTCGCATGGAATGGGGAGCGGGTGGCGACCCCCAACTCCGGCCCCTGACCGCTCCAGCGACAGGAAAGGACTTTCCCGCGGGTCCCGCGCGCGCTCACGAGGCGCCCCGCGCGGGCGAGGGGGAGAGGAGCAGGACCCCCTTTTGGGGGGCGGCCCCGCCGAGTCCACACGGCGAGCCCGGGTCCGGGGCAGTGTCTGGGGTTCTGCGCGGCTGGGCGGGCCGGAGCGGGCTCCCGAGCGCAGGGGGGCGCGGCTCCGCCCCTCTGGTCCCCCCCAACCCCGCAGGCGCCCGCGGAGCCGCCTCGGCCCCGCCCTCCTCGTCACGCTCCATATGACGCGCCCTCCTCGCGGTGCCCTTCAGCCGCCGCCGCAGTTCCCGGCGCCACATGGACCCGGCCGGCCCGAGCGCGCTCCGCCGCTGACCGCCCGCGCCCGCCCGCGCCCCGGCCGGAAGGTAACCCGTGCCCCCTCCCCTCCCCTCCCCGGACGCCCCTTCTCTTCTCCTCCCCTCCCCTCCCAGGACACCCCCTCCGCTCTACTCCCCTCCCCTCCCTGGACTCTCCCTCCCCTCCTCTCCCCTCCCCGGACCCCTCTCCCCTCTCCTCCCCTCCCCTCCCCGGACGCCCCCCTCCCCTCCCGGCGGGCGTGCTCCGGCCGGGCTGGCGCTGTCCACCGCGCGGTGCTGAACGCGGGCCCGGCCCGCGCCCTCCCTCTCCTGCTCCGTCTCCGAGTCTCGGCCTCTCGCGCCTCCCTTCCCTCCCTCGTCCTCGATCTCTCCTCCTCTCTACCGGCGCGCCCGCCTGAAGGCCGCTGGGCAGAGCCGGGAAAGGGGTGCGGCGGCCGCGGGAGCCCCGGCCCGCGCGGCGGCGGTGGGAGCCCTGTGGGAGCTCCCGCAGCACCCCCGAGCCTCTGCGGCGGGCCCTGCGGTTCCCTCCCCACCAGGAGCCAGGGGAGAAGTTTGGAAGGAATCTGCTTTGCGGCAAAGGCGCCCCTGCGCGCCCGCGCTTTTCAGGGAGGCGGGGGCACCCCCAGCCTGCCACCCCTCCCCAGCCCGCACACACGCGGGTCTCCTGCGCTGCGGAGGAAAAATTCATAAAGCAGTGGATCTCCAGGGACCTAGGTTTCCCTGCCAGAAGAGACCTTGGGTGGGGGTGTGGGGGGGGGGGGGGCGACGGCGCTGCATCTGCCGATTTTACAGGAAGCACCTCCCCACCAGAGTTCCAGCTGACCTGGGGTGCCCCATCCATGCAGATGCAGGTGGAGGGGTGGTCTGCCCCCACTTTCCATTTGTTCCTTGAAGGCCGAGCCCCTGCTGGTTTCTCCTTTCCACTCCAGTCTCTGCTGTGGGCAGGTGGCAGTGGGTGCTGGAACCTCCCCTGGATAGAATCTGGTCTCCGGAGACTCCCCCATCAGAAGCCGAAGGGACCTCCCTGAAGGGGCATGTGCTCCGGCTCCATGCACTCTAACTCTCCCATCCCTTGGATGGACCGCCCCCTGTGGCCCAGAGCCCACCATGGAGGCAGCAGAGCCAGTCACCTTCAAACGCCCCCAGGCCTGCCCCTGCTTCACAGAGGCTGGCTCCTCTAAGCTGCACCCCCCAAGATGTGAGCACCTCCCACCCCTGCAGTGGCAGCCAAAGCTGGCTTCAGAAACCCCAGGGACTGGGTGAGACCGCTTTGCAGGTCCAGCTGGGGTCCTGGGATCTGCCTGCCCTGGTCAGGGTATAGTGTGGAAGGCCCCCTCCACAGGGACCCTCCCAGTGCGGGGGTCCAGCCACAAGGTGTGGGGAGGATGATGGATGATGCTCTCTCAGACCCCAGACCCATGCTGAGGGGAGGCTGGGTGGGGACGAGGAAGAAGCCCTGCCCTAGCCCGATCAGGGTGACCTGTGGCCACTTCCTCTCCTCCAGGCAGAAGACTGCTGGCCACGCTCGCATGTGAGTTCCGACCCTCGGAAGAACTGCTGAGGAAACACAACCATCGTCATGGAGTTTGTGATGAAGCAGGCCCTGGGAGGTAGGAAGCAGGGGTTGTGGGGGCATATTGCTCCCACGGGTCATGGCCTGCACACCGCAGTGGCATGCAGACGTCACACGTGGCCCCTCTCAGCCTTCACACTCACCCACGCACGTCCCCCCAGACACACCAGCCTGCTCCCTCTGGCGGAGTGGGGCCTGGCCAGCCTTGGGGGTGGGAGAGGGTGTGTGCTGTGGTCAGGGCAGGGCCCACCCAATGGTGCTGAGGCAGGGGTCAAAGGCCGAGCAGCAGCACCCCCACTTGGCTCGGGAAGACATCCGAGGGTGGGTTTCAGGGGCACTGAGGGCCATCCTAACTGGCAGGTCCGGAGGCCCCCACTGGTATTTACTGTAGTAAGCAGAGCTTCGAGAGGCCGCAGGGGCTGCAGGAGCTGGAAGGGAGTTGGGGGGACAGAGCTGGACCTGCGGTGTCCAGCAAGGACCCCGTGGGTTTCACCCAGGTTGGGGGCAGCAGTGTGCACAGGGACAAGAGAAGAGGCTTGTGTGACACTGGTCCCTTGCACAGAGGCAGTGTGGTCTCTTGTGTATGTGTTTGGGGAGGGGACCCCCCCCTTCCAACTCTGCTGACTCCTATTTGAAGGGAATCCTGTGCGTACTTGGCTGAAGGCCATCATCATGGCCAGAGAGCCTGGCCCAGGAGAGGAAGGTGGTATAGGATAGTGGGCTGAGGCTCTGGCCCGGGAGGTGGTGGGGCAGTGGGCCGAGGTCCACATTGGCATGAATGCGTTCTGCAGAGCAGCCTGGTCAGCCCAGGCCCCTGGGGCCTCCACTTGGTGCAGCGCCATCTCTCTGGGAGGGGAGCGGCAGCCAGCGCCCGACTCTGCCTTTAGAGATGTCCTCCTCGGGTGGGCCCTGGGGGCCGCACTCTGCTGGTGCTGTTCGCAGCCCAGCGCAAGTCAGGTGACACATGATAAGGCCACCCGCTTGGTGCTGCTGTGATGGCAGGAGGAAGTGGGAACTTTCGCCATAGGTGGGGAGCTGGTGGGGGCCGTTGTGCCAGAAACGAAGGGCAGGATGGAAGGACCGGGGCCACCCCCCAGGACAGGAGCCCCACATGTGGGCTTGTCTCCTGGAGAATGGCTGCATTTCCGCTCAACATAGATTAAATGAAAAGACTTCGGGCCTGGCCTGGGGCCACGTTCCATGAGATGTCGTGGTCAAGGAGAGGCTGCAGGTCGAGTCTAATTATAATGATTACGTCACCAGGACATGATTCAGGGACAAGGCAGCATCCTGGCTCTGGGAGGGATCCATGTTCCACCCAGCCCGAGGCTGTTACAGATAATTAATTAGGTGGCTAATTCAGGCCTTGAGGTGGGCTTGTAAGAAAACTGAAATATCTGATTTGGCTGTCTACATGGCTGAAATTAGCTGGGTAATTGCCAGCCTGGATTCCCTTTGTTCCATGTCAGCCCAAAGTTTCTCCTGCAGCGGCGACGGGGCGGGCTTCTCAGAGAGATGTGGGAGCTGCGAGGGGGCGGCCCGCAGAGGCCCCTCGGAGCACCCTGTCCACGCAGCTCGCCGGGCACCCCAAGGCCAGGCATTGGCCCTGACATTCGCCATCCCAGTGCTGCAGGGCAGGGGCTGCATGTGACCTCTCGGTGACACCCTGTTTTCTGTTCCTGTACTTTGTCCCCCCATCCCCGGATGGGCATCATTTTGGTCTCTCTGGATGCATATGTGTGAGAGGGAGACAGACGGAGGGACAGAGATAGACAGAGACCAAAAGTCTTCTGAGAGAGACAGACGAGAGCCCCAGACACAGAGGATCTGCTGGGATGGACCCCGGGAAGCCGTCCAGAGAGGCGAGGCCAGAGAAATGGGGGCCAGGGATGGAGTTGGAGGGAAGGTACAGCCCAGAAACAGACCAAGGAAAGGACAGAAACAGAAATGCCCTAGGGTGCGCCAGACACACAGCGATGTGGGAAACAAGTCCCAGGGAGAGAGATGCAGGAGAGAGACAACGGGCGCGAGGCTGTCTGGAGTCAGGCAGAGATGGCAACTGGGGGAGACAGAAGCTCAGAAGAAAACATCTGGAGAACATCTTGGAAAAGACAGGGTGACTGAGACAGAAACTGAGGAACCCAAGGGAACGGATACGTGGATAAGTGCAGGATACGTGGACCGAGAGAGCCACAGAGACAAAGATGGAGACGGGGCGGGGGAGAGAGATAGAGACAGAGAGAGACAGAGACAGAGAGGGAGAGAGAGAAACAGAGACACAGAGAGAGGTGAAGACAAAGAGACGCAGACAGATACAGACAGAAATAGAGAGTAGAGAGAAAAAGACAGAGAGGCGGAGCAGGGGAGAGACAGAGAGAGGGACAAGAGACACAGAACGACAGAGACGTCTCAGGAACAAAAAGAAATAGAGTCAGGGTCGAAAACAGAGTACATCCCTACCCACACTCACACGCACACACATACACACACACATGCACACTCAGAGGACACACAGCAGAAAGGAGGGAAGAGACGGCCCTGGAGGGAGCCCCAGGCAGCCTCGCTCAGCTGTGCTGGGGACAGGACTCGGTGCGGCCTAATTAAACTGTGGCCGTCGGAGGCTGTCCCCAGCTTGCTGAGCTGCACGGCCAGTCCTCTGGCAAGGACAGACTTCTTGGCCCTGACCTTGTGCCTTAGGCAAGGCCTTTGTGGGGACAAAGTACGAGGTGACTGCCCAGTGGGGACGACAGCTGCAGGACTCAGAATCCATCAGACAGACAGACAGACAGGATACCATGGGCCCCCAGGCACATGGCCTTGTCCACTCTGGGGTTCAGGGCACCCTGGACTGGGCAAGGACCCGGTCCCAGATCTGCTGGGCTGACGACGAGGCGTGTGCCCTGGGTCTGTGGTGTCTCTGTCCCCCTGGCCCCCACCAGTCAGTCTGGCGTCTCTCCCTCTGAGAGTTTTGCTGGAGAGCTGACTGGGCTTCTCTGTGGCGCTCAGGCCTCTCATGCCCTCAGTCATCTGGTCACGGCTCCAGCAGCCTCTGCCCCTCCTTGCATCCCACTGGCTGGCACGTTGCAGACACCTCCCACATGGCCAGCTGGGCCGCTGGTGAGACCCCCCCGAGGAGGCAGGCGAGACTCAGCCTGCTGATGCTGCAGGACAGACAGAGCAAGCCCCCGAGATTCAGGGGGAGCCGGTTCAGGAGGAGCTCAGCTGCAGCAAGGACGGCGGCCGGCCGTGAAATCCCAGGCCCAGGTCCTCCCTGTAATCTTCTATAGACACCTGACTGTCGATCTCTGTGGCTTGGCTGGCCCCGAGCCCAGCCGGTGGGGGTCATGCTCTGCCGCTGTGGCGGCCACCTCAGAGCCCTCTCCTCCACCGGCCTGTCTGCTTGGACACTGAGCCGCCTCCCCGGGGACCGCAGGTCACCTGGGAGCAGAGCACAGACTCTGGGGGCACGTGTTACAGGAGGGAAGGGAGGGGGAGGGAAGAGACAAGGAGTTGCCTTGGGGATGAGGGGCTGCCCTGGGCCATGAGGGAGGACGGGACAGAGACTGGGAGGGGCTGGCAGGGGGGTGACAAGCTACGGGGCGGGGCAGGGCTGCCCTCAGCGCAGCCGTGGGTGGGGAGGAGTGGGACTCAGGTGCCAGCACGCTGACGTCCTGCCTCATCATGTCCTGGCAAGACCAGTAGCACTGACCGACGACCTCACTCAGGCTCCTGGTGCCAAGCTCCTTCTCTGAGGGCCGGCAGGTAGCAGTGGACCATGGACAAAGGGGCAGGTGGCCCCCAGGGCTCCTCCCCTGAGGTGGCAGGATCAGCCCAGACACTTGGCCTCTGGGCCCCCACGGTGCATATGGGAGGGCTTCACACCACGGCCGACTGTCTGAGGACACAGCCTGAGAGGGGCCAGGCGGGGCCCGTTGGGGTGCCTACCCTTGGGGCCGAGTTCTCCACAGGCTGAACGGGGCACCTTTGGTTCCTTCAGGCTCAGAAGACTTGACCTCCAGGACATAGCTCAGCTGGGATCGCCCCAAGGCCAGGGAGCCCTGAGAGCCGCGGGCGCTGTGGGACGCAGAGCGAGGCACAGAGGGGAATTCTCCTGGGGCCAAATTGTCAGGGAAACTGTCCAGCTGTTGGCAAACTTGTCTTTACCAGAAGGGCCTGGAGGCCTTACAGGCCTTTACAAGATCCACCGAGACACCCCCAGATTTAAATCCGCCAACACTCAGTGCCTGAAAGAAGAAAACAGGGACGCAGAGTCGGTGTGGCGGCTGCTGGCGTGGGGACTGGGAACCTGTCTGCCACGGGCGGCCTTGAACTGGTGCCAGGCGGCCCAGCCAATTCGGCACAGATCTGGGGCTCAGGGTCCCCAAGGGTATAATTTGAAGACACTGCTTTCCCCCAAGGCCAGGAAGTGGCAAATGGTCCTGGAGCTATATTTACACCATGGACAGGAGCGTGGGCAGTTGTCAGGTTAACGTGGTTGGTATGGACTCTCAGGCTAAATCCGGCGCAGGTGGCTATTTTGGCCCAAACAATCCCATTTGTGGCTGGCTGTCCCGCCATTCCCCCTCAGTGTGACACGTTCTGTGTCAGGAACACACTCAGGTCTTCAGGGACTGTGCGGGGGCAGGGGAGGGCTTCATGGAGGAGGGGACATCTGAGATGGGCTCCAAGGACCAGCAGACGAGACTGGGACACAGCACGTGCAAGGGCCTGGGGCCATGGGGCCATGGGGCTGGAGCTGGGGCTGGAAGGAGCTTCGAGGGAGAACATTACAGGACCCAGCAACCAAGCCCAAGTAGGGTCTTCTCGCGGAGCTCAGGTCTGCCCTGGCACGTCCAGTGGCTCTTGGCATGTGGTCAGGCAGGACGGTGTCCTGTGGCGAGCTGGCCTCGGGCCAGTCCTGGGCAAGGAGGCGGTCCCGTCTCAGGGGTAGAGGGCATCAGGGCCTGTGTCCAGTGCGAGGAGATGAACAGCCAAGGTCCTGAGGCCTGCGTGTCTGGGCAGGAGCAGCAGCTCCTT